AAAATTCAAGAATTCTGGGTAAGGCAGATTTAGGTTCAAATCCTGTAATTGCCAACCCTTGCTCTTTGGATGAGATACTTCAACTAAGTAGAACTCAGTTTTGTCATTTATAAGGTAAGTATAAATACTTAACTACCTTATGCTCTTGTTTAAATTCAATGAGATTATGTACATTTTTGTGGCACATACTGAATATTAAATGATGCCAGATTATATTTCTCTGACATCTAATTTCTAATGTGCTTTATCTTTTTTAATTTTCTTTTTATTTATATTTTTACATGATTGTTCCTTTTTTAAATTTTTATTTTATTTCTTTATTATTTATATATTTTTACATCATTGTTTATTTTTAAACAATGTTTGCTTTCTAACCTACCCCCCACACACAGGTGTAATCCTCAAAGAATTTCCTTCACCAATGCACCCATGTACTATTACCACAGTCCTCTGTGCTTATCCCTCCCTCCCTCTTATCCCTCTAATGTGTTTTAATATGGCAAAGGATATATAAGAAAAATGAAGCAAATAATCTTCTTATTGCACACCCTCTACAAACACACATGCAGATAAAGTAATCTGTAAATTACCATTTGATTGTATAAGAAAACAAGATATACTCAAATGAACAAGCAGTTTTCTGTTTCAAATTAAGTATAATATAGAACTTCCTGCTTAAAGAAAGAAAATTCTCACTTCTGCATCTCTAATGCCAATTTCCAAATTTGGACACACACATGAATCTAACATATGAATCTTTTAGATTTAAGAGAACACACACCAATTCATTCATAATAAGCAGGGTAACTTTAAAAAACATTTCAAATTTACATCATCCAGAAATAATTAGAAGCTGATTAACTCTCAGGAAATTATCTTTAGTGTTTACTAAAACATTCAAAACACTTTTTTTAAATAAGAGGGGATGAAGAGATAATTGCTATAAGGTGAAGTTTGAAGTAATAACCCTATCAATTCTAGATCTATACACATGTTTTACACTAAGGAAATTGAATATAAGACATTTTTAATCCTCTACTTGTAGAAAATTTTCCTTCCTTCCCTCCCTCCTTCCTCACTTCCCCTCTTCCTTTCTTTTTTTAACTTCAAAGTATGGATTTATCATAGAATAACTTTTTCAGTTTTTAGTTAAGAATTTGATTTGTCCCAAGGCCTCTAAATCCTTTGACTAAAATAAAGGTCAGAGTTTACTCAATCAGATTTGCATAAATATGTTATCATAAAACAATCTCAAATTATAAAAAAGATATGTAAATGGCAGAATTCAATTTATTTTTCCAAATGGGAATGGATGAAATTTGCAAGAAAGATCAATACAATCTTCACCTCTCTCTAAAATTTTCAAATATATTTGCAAATGCCATTATACATGCTTTTTATAAAAATGTTTTTGATGTCTAGAGCATCAAATACATCAGGACACTGTCAAAGAGATAGCTGGGTAACAAAGAGTTCAAATGGATATAATGAGATCTATTCCATGATTAAGCATTTGAAACAGTGGCCACATGTTTCTCAGATGAGAAATCCCACTTCAAGATCAACGTATTTTTCTAAACTTGACCAGTGACATGCTATTTGACCACATGTGTCATTTGGATAATTCGTTGAATTTCTTACACAACTCAGTGAGAAGTTGTACTTACAAGTCTATCTCTTGATCTGTTTTCCTAGAAAGGGAAAATTTGAACATCTGACCTTAGAAATCTCAATTATTCCTCATGCCTGCATGATTGAGTAGGTTAAATCATTAATTCAGGAAACATCAGTTTAATATAAACTAATTTTAAACTTTTTTTAGAAACACAACTTTGTGTTTTAATGTACCTTCAAATTTCTGCCTGAATTTTATCAGTTAACTTAATATTTTTAAAACTACTATTACAGAGAAGTATTTATTGTTGAAATTTCCATCTTGCAATTCAAGATGAAATTAGCATTATCCAAAACAAGAATGATGGAAGTAGAGAAGAAAGATATTCTAGAACACATTAAAACAGAACTGGCCCTGAGCACTTGTAGGCACTCTAATAAACTGACAAGATTAAATTTATAGAGATTATGCCTACGATTCTGCTTCTCAGATGAATTTATACTTAGAGATGTCATATTACTGGGATGATGACCCATATGGCTTCTAAAATCACAAATTAAATCTGAATTATTTCCCAAAGAAGTAATAAAATTTTTACATATTCAGTTAGCGCAAACTGTGGGTTGAACATTGTCTAGAATTAATGAGATCAATAGAAACAGTTTATTTACTAAGTCTATAAACCTATTCACCATTCCAAACTAACCTTCATGAGTTGCTTTTATCTGCATACTAAGAACTCCCTTTAACTTTGACTTGTTGCCCCTTCCCGTCTCCAAGGGCATTATCTGTTGCTGGCATCAACTATTCAAACACTGAGAACTCATTCCTTACAAAGTTTATAGTAATTTGGCTCTGATTTTTCCAAGATACACAGTCTTAATCTTGAGGATCAAATAGATGACCTACACAACAACATAGTTTTTTCCCCTATTGGTGACTGAATTAATTAAACGGTTTAACACAGACCTCTTAATATATATGTTGCTTCCATAGTAAATTGTTAAGGTGCCAAGACCACTGGAAGCCCTCAGAGAAAGCCGTTAGATGGTGACTGGTCCATTTCCTTTAATGGTGATAATTAACATTGCTGTAACAATTTCAGTCTTCTAGAGCTGTGCGTACATTATATGTGGGGTACATAGCTACTTCAGCACCAACCAATAGGCATGTGGTATTTCCCATAACTGTGATCATTCTACTGCATAACTTCTGATGCCTCTATTCTCAAAGCCAATGGTTGCTATAGTTTAATGGGACAAATATCTCTAATCAGTGAACCAGGGACCCAATAGTCTCAAAGTGACTTGATTCTCAGAACTTCATGTTATAAATCTAGCCATCATCAGTAAATGAGGAAAGCAAAATATCCTTCTCAACAAACAAGTATGCTGCATGACCTTGCCTATAATTTTCTGTACTTCTTCCTCTTTAGGTCACAACTTGTTCTAGGACTCTCAAAATGACTATTCAGTCCTCCCTGGTGGCACAAGGGGTTAGGAAGCAACCTATGATGCTATTGGCAGCCACTGCAGCATGAGTTTGATCCCCGGCCAGGGAGTTACCCATATGGCGCAGCTGACCTCTCCCATCTCGCCCGCTGCTCCTCTCAGCAGTGTATTTTAGTCGATCTGCCTGTTCTGCTCCCCACTCTGTCTCTGGTGAATCTTCTCACCCCACCATGCCTCTGACCTGCACCCCAGTTCTTGTATGCAAAAAATAAATAAATCTTTAAAAAAATGACTATTCATGGAATCCATTTAAAGAGTTATTCTTTTTTCACTTTCTTTCTCATCTACTTTACAATCCATGATTCTTCATTTGAATATTAACCTGAATTTTATTGTCCTTGTAGATCATAATACCTATCTAGGAAAATCCCAAATCTGTAAGAATTGAGCTATCTGCTTTTTCTATGATAAAATGTCCAGATAATGACTATCACACTAATGAGCAGAATCACAAAACAGGCAACATCAATTCTAGTATAAGTATGCAGTCACTAATCTCTATTTAGCTTCTCAAAATGTCTAGCAATACAACTACCAGACTGGTATTTTCTTTGATATATCAAAGACACAGAGGGCTTAATTAAACACCTCCCCTGTTCTCTTCCAGCATTTTTCAGTAAATGGGTCTACTTTGGCCTAAATATACATAATATAACCCTGTGGTTATCCTTGATAATCTCCCTTTTCTAAACGTCAACATCAAATCCTCTCAAATACTTGATGACATCATGTCCTAAATATCAATTTCTTCTATCCTTCAGCAATCCACTTTAATGTGATGTTCATGTTTGATCTCACCTGGAGTAGATTTGAGAACTTGAAATTTTATAATCATTAGTTTTATAATCTGTAAGTTTACTCGACTGTAAGCTCCATTGAATCAGTTTTGTCTATCTTTACTCATTATTTTATCTCTAGGATTTTGAATTTTTTTCTTTGTTTACAGTGAGTACTTGATAAATACTTCCTGAATGAATGGGCAAATTAATACATTTACATATATTATCACAGTAGATATATGCAAGAATGAGGCAAATTTATTCATATTAACATCATATAAAAGACAAATACTAAGTTCAACAAGAGCCAAATAAGTAGACAATAAATTTGGATGCAAAATCACTCAGTTTTACTAACTCTAACTCCTTTGTATCTCTACATTTTAGTACCATGATGCATATCAACCTTACATGATATTTTCTTTTTCATTTTACTCATAGCTTAAACTTAGAAAGCTATGTCTAATTGTTATGTGATTATCTATGAATACAGAAAATAACATCCATGGAAGACATTCTAATGCTTTTTAAAACATGCCATTCCCTGCAAATACATTCAAAAGAGTTGTTTTGATTTTGTAAATAGAAATGTTTATGTATCTCATACTTCAAATTAAGATGGAAACCAAAATGTACTTAAAGTAGTCATCAAGCAAAAGGAAAAGGAGTAAGAGCAGAAAAGAACAAAAACAGACATTTTTAAACCATCACCATTATTTTCTATTATTTTTGAGTGCCATCTTGCAGATATTTCCTAACAATTTGTATTTGCAGTACAATAGGAACTATTATTATCCCTATTTTACAGGTAAGAAAATTGAGAATTAGAGCAATCAAAGCCAAGAGACAAATACAGCTTCTGTATTATTCCAGGGCTGTACTTAACATTAAATTGCCTTCCCAATAAGTAGTTAAGTCTTTCATTTTGAGCCATCAGTTAGTGAAAAATCAACAAAAACATTTTTTTTTTTTGTGGCTAATAGCATCTGATAATGGGGCATTTCAATTATAATCAGAAGGAAGGAAACACTACACACATTATTATCAAAGTTAGCTTTTTCCCCAGATATATAAGAAGCAAGTTTTTAGTCTTACCCATGAATTCAATCCCCAAGTGGTCTGCTACACCGAAGTCAGCATTAAAGGAAGGGAAACAGAAAAAGAGAAAAAGATTAGAAAAAAATCCACATGGAAATCAATGTTTACAAGGCTGATCTTCCAAAGCGAAAAATGATTCTTAATTTTAACCTTGATGTTTGCTTGAAGAAGGTAATACAGATTGCCAACAATTAGGGGTACTCTGAACATACATTGATTAGTATTTCCCAAAGCCTCTGAGCTATAGCCTGGAATTTTAGATGGAATAATATTGCATCAATTACTAATTATACTAAACATACATTTAGCCAAAAAGGAAAAAAAAAAAGTAAAATAAACTGTTCACACAAAGAATATATAATACTGAGTTAATTTCAGATATTTTCTGTAGAATAATTATTAAACATACATGTATTTGGACCTCAATGTTAAGAATAAGTAAGCAGATAACTTCTGCATGATGGGCCTTAAGTAGATGCTCTTCAATTTGGCAAAAAAAGGAATGATGTTGGATTTTTTCCTTTTATTTGTAAGATGAGAAAACTGTTTCATCTAAAAATCTTATAGATACCCCAAAAGCCGACACAGAACTAGGGCATAAATCTGACTCTTGAGTCCTATGACTATGAAACTTGACACTGCTTCCCAGCAAACATGAGTGACAGATGTGTCCACATCTGTTTTCTGTTCTAAATACATATCACCAGTCAACCACTTTGACCCATTAGCTGCAAAAACCAGTGATAAACTGGGCCTGGTTATTCTGGGCGTTCAACCTTAGAATTCATTTATTTAAATAGTGTTTTCTTTTAGTCATTCAATTATTCACTCATTCAGTTTTTATTTATTTATTTTTGTGGGACCCTTGCCGGCGGCCTGGGAACGAACTAGCGCTGCAGAGGCTGCAGGCAGCCCAGCAGCCCAGCGCTCAACCACTGCGCTACCAGTTTCGGTAGCAGTAATATTTTTCTTAAATGAGAATAAATGGCAAAAATGTATTACATAATAGTATTTGTTTCTAAGACTAATTACTGAGCTTTTTAAAATTTCTCTATTGAGCAAAGAAGCTTTATTTTTAGAAAATATGCATTTACTTATCTTGAATACCTTTTTTATTTGTATATAATTCATTTATACATTTTCTTATTATTTGTATATAATTCTTATTTGTATATAATTCATTTATACATTTTCTTATTATTTGTATATAATTCTTATTTGTATATAATTCATTTATACATTTTATTTGGGTTAAATACATGTTACATAAAATATGTCATTTTGGGCCACCCCGGTGGCGCAGTGGTTGAGCGCTGGATTGCGAAGCTGCCCCCAGCCTCTGCAGCGCCGGTTCGATCCCCGGCTGCTCCCCAGCCAACAGAGGAGGGTCCCACATGGCACGCAGACCTCTCCTGCTGCCCGCTGCTCCCCTCAGCAGTGTACTTCGGTCCTTCTGCCTTCTCTGCTCCCCACTCTGGCTCTGGTGAATTCTCTCACCCTCCCGTGCTTCTGACTGTACCCAGTGCTTGTCTAAATAAATAAATAAATAAATAAATCTTTAAAAAAATAAAAAAAATAAAATATGTCATTTTAATCATTTTCAGTATATAATTCAGTGGCATTATTTGCATTCACAATGTTGTGCAACTATAACTTCTCTATTTCCAAAACTTTGCCATCATTCCGAATTCTGCTCAGCAGCAATTCCTCCTTTTTTCTCCTTCCCCATTCATGGTGACCTGACACATATTCTTCCGTTCTTTCATTAAGATGTTAAATACTGGATAATTATTGAAGCTTTAAAGATACTGTTAGACTTTGTTTCATACAGAAGGGTCAATGGAAATTCATAACAAGCACGACAGATAAAAAAATCAATTTTGTCAACTGAGTCATACAAAGAACACAAAACATACTATCAATCGTCATCCTTCACCAGGTATTTCTGGGGATCTCCAGAACTGCATGAAAACATCAAGAGGGATGTTTTCATCATTTAATCATTCATTTATTCATTCACTCAACAGCTATGTGCCATGAACTGCAGAGATAATGGGATGGAAGAAAGGTCCATTGCTTTAGCAAAAGTAGCTTCATATCCCCTCTGGCATATGTTAGAGCATCATTTACATCTTTGGGACAGTTTAATTAACTATTACATGTAAAGATTGCAATTCTTTTGGCATATACATACCTTTTGTCTATATAACAGTGGCTTACATTTACTGAGCACTAAGTATGTACCTGGAACTGCTTCAAGGTCTGTCTCACAGAAACAAAAGTTGCCATTATCCTCATTCCTCAGATAGAAAACAGGCACAGAGAGGTGAAGAAACATTCCCCAGATTACGCTGCTGCTAAGTGGTTAAAAAAAACCAAATCAGCCTAAGCAGCTAGACTCTTAACCACTGGTCTACATATGCCCTCCCTGTGAAGGAAAAAACTAATTTTTACCAAATTATCAGTAGTGAGATATTCAGGGAGGAGTTACTTAATCCACTTAAGAGAATAAATTGTTTTCAAGTATCCTCAGGCACTGTAGAAGCACCACTTATTTACTTGCTCACCCTGAATTTATTGAAGTGTGAATATTAGCTTGGTGGGGGGGGTCCCCTTTCCCTATAGAACTAAAGTGGAAAACTGGGCCTCCCCTGGTGGCGCAGCGGTTGATCGCTGGGTTGCGAGGATGCCCACAGCCTCTGTAGCGCCAGTTTGCTCCCCGGCTACCGGCGAGGGTCCCACAAAAAAACAAAGAAACAAAAAAAACAAAGAATTAATTAATATTAATATTAATATTAAATTACTATTTCTTTACTGGTTACTAGGGAAATTTTTTCATAATGAAACTGGCCTCATGTAGTTATTTGTTTGTATATACATCAAGGGATATATAGTTTTCTTTGAATATGTGTCAAACATTGAATCAGTTATCTTAAAACTTGCAATATACTTAATGAGAGTCAGCAGGTCACCACCTAAACTACAGACCTAAAACATTCTTTTTTTAATGATTGATTTATTTATGCATAGAAGAACTGGGGTGTAGGCCAGAGGTGCAGTGGGTGAGAGGATTCACCAGAGGTGGAGGGGGGAGCACAGCAGGTGGATTTATTAAAATACACTGCTAAGGGGAAGCAGTGGTTGAGATAGGAGAGGTCTGTTGAACCATATGTATAATATGAATGTATATGTGCCATAAGTTATGAATGCAAATCTGATTCTAAATTCCATGTTCCTGCATTAAATTATGCTTCTTAATTAAATAGGTAATTTTATTGTTATTATCACATTTATATTTGAACTTAAAAATTATATATGCTCATAAAGAGTCTGGAAAGTAAACAATCATATTAATAAAAGGAACTTGAAACCTTTCTTACTACCTCCTGAAAGCAATTCCCTTAATTTTTTGTCTAGTCCACTGTAGTCTTCCTTTTGTACATGTAAAATAAGTCAATTTTACACAAAATCACCCTGCATTACATACCTAAATCAGAGGGCTCTCTGTGGCCATTTCAGCCTTATAATCCCAATCCCCTTTCTAACCTCCATCACATCAGAACTGACAACATTTCTGTTGTTGAGAATAAGCCCTGACATTATTACTGTGGCCAGTCTCACACCAGACAGCTCATCAATCACAGAAAAGCAAAACCACTTTCCCAGAAAAACACACTCCCTCCTGGGTCCCAGAGGAGCAAGCACATTCTTCTTTGCCTGGGTCTTGTTATAAAACATGAACTCTTTCCTTTTCTTCTCAAAAGTCCTATCACTGATTCTTGTTGAACAGACACCACTATATCACATTGTCTTCTCTTCTAAGTAAGAAGGTTTATTTGTATTAAAGCAGGAGAAGCAGGCAGCAATGGAGACTCTGCCACTTATTTATGCAGTACAAAGTAAAGATGAACCTTCTGCTGCATAAAATGAAAAATCAAAATAGGGTTGCAGCTGAGAGTTGTGAGTGACCATTTACTTAGGCGGAGTCTCAAAAATGAGTCTTGCCTATTTAGCTTGCAGAATTTTCCAGTGAAGACATCTTGGAATATTAGGCTTAACTCTGATTCCATGTTTATAATCAGCGATTAAAGAAATGAATAAGAGTTACCATTGTATAGGAAAAGGTCTTCACTCAAATAAATTTTTATTTTATAATTAATGATAATACATTTGTATAGGTGAGTACACTTGGATTTCTGCTGCTGCAACTCCTAATAATTCTCCCAGCATTTTTCATATTTTGTTGATTTTCCTCAAGTTCTCATATTTTCTCACTTGGCACTTCTACATACATCATTTCAAATAATTTTTAAAAATTAGGCTGTAAAGTAGTGCTACTGAGCCCCAATTTAACAGTGAAAGAAAATAGACTTGAAAAGTTAAAGTTCATATTTGTAGATTTCTGGACTCTTAAGGTAGAAAAGTTTATTAAATCCCAGGAGTAAAGGTAGTGTTTCTTTTGCTCACTGACTTATTACTCCAGCCTATCATAGAGTCTGACATTTTGGAAGTACTCAATAAATATTTATTGAATGAATAAAATGCCATATGAGTCAGCCCTTTTGCCCACTGCATGAGATATTTGCATTCCTTCAAAGACTATTCAGTTGGTTTTCTGTCACCTCTGATTTTTTAAAGATTCCAAAGAACATGACACCTGTGGTGCTAATTCTTTAAACATTGAACAAACAATATCCACAGATGTTTCTAGAAAACTTCTTCAAATTAAAATGCATTTAATTCCTCCTTTGTGAGTCTTCCTTACTGGTGTACAAAAATTTCCAGATTGTTACTGAATAGATCCAATATATGTATGTCTTAGATTATAACTGATTAGATAAACTGGAATCTTCTCCCTGGCCCCTTCTTCAATTCCTCTGGTCCTTTTCAAATATAGGTGACAGTAAATGGTTTTTGAATGTTTTTCATAATTCCTCCAATTTTCTTTCTTACTGAAGATACATTTTCATGAATTTTTTTAAACATAAATTATATTTATAAACCATAATGCTTCTTCCCAGGCT